GAGGGAGCTTAAGGGGAGAACTTCTGAAAATAGCAAGGGGGAAAAAAAAAAAAAAAAAAACCCAAGCCAAAACCAAACGAAAGAGAAACTCGAAACTCAAAAACCCAACCCAAACACTGCCAGGCCAAAACACTGTCTGCTGCCCCGGGAGGGTTGGGGTCCAGCAGGCAGGACCACCCCCTGCTCCCTGAAGAGTCCTGAGGCCACTTTGCATCTCCCGGGCACGGAGCACTGCCCGGGCTTGGCTGGGCTTTGCTGTCACTAGTGGGACCCACTCCTGAGTGCCATGTTCCCTGCAGACTCCCCGATGTGCCCCCCAAGCCCCAGGCACCTCCAGGGCTGCAGCAAACCCTTCCCTGGCAGCTGGGGGTGCAGGCAGGCTGGCACAGAGTGGTCCTGGCAAGCCCCTGAGGATGAGGGTGCCCTGTCCCACAGTTAGGTCTGAGCCAGAGGTGGGTGGCAAGGATTTGGGAATGTGTGGTGTGGTGGTCTTGGATACCAGGAACATCATGATGCCCCAGCTCACCCTCAGCTCTCTGCTGCAGGCATTCGCTTCCCTGGCGTAGGGGTGCTGCCTGGAGTACCCACTGGAGCTGGAGTCAAGCCAAAAGCTCCAGGTAAGTCCCTCAATCCACTGGGAACACCAGGGTGGGTTCATGGCTGGCTCCAACTCTGCCCCCCCATCCCACTGGAGCTGGCCCCAGCCCATCCTTTGGGATCACAGCCCTCCAGGGCACATGGGTGAGCGAAGCCAACCTCCAGCTGAACCCACTCAGGCTGATTTGGGCCTCCAGGCCCAGCCCCGGGGTTCACACAGGTGTCCTTGTGTTTCGTTTTAGGAGTTGGGGCCTTTGGAGGAATCCCTGGTGAGTGTCCTGTCTCTCTTGCCTGTCCTTCTCTTCCTTCCCAAGCCTGTCCATCACAGCCATGGTCTCCCCACACCAGAAGATACCTCAGGGCTTCCTAGGACACCCACCCTCCTCTCCCGGGGTGCCCTGGGGCGCTCCCCTCTCCCAAGGACTGGCGGCGGTCGTGACGTGGGCTCCAGGTGAGAGTGTGCTGTTGGCTTTGCAGGACTGGGAGGTTTTGGAGGTCCACAGCCCGGTGTCCCTCTGGGGTATCCCATCAAAGCTCCTAAGCTCCCAGGTAAGCTGCTGCCACAGCCAACGGGGCTGCGGGTGGAGGATCCCCGGCAGTGTCAGGAGAAGG